GCGGGTTTAGTTTTTCATTTTAACACTGTTTTGTAGCCGCCGCATAATATGCTAGCTTCTTTCATAACTGACGCCTCCAGTCCTCTGGATAAATAAATGGGACCGTTGAGAGTTAAGGAAAAACAATGGATAAGCAATTTTGGTCGATTACGCTACTGCTCTGCATTTGGTGCATGTTTAGTACTTGATAATCAAAATGATTGTAATTTGAGGTTGGAAGAGGAGCGACGCTTGAAAGAACTGCGAGAGCAAGAAAGGCGTAACGCGGAGCAGCGTGAACGTGAACGTCAGGAGGCGCTGGAGCGTGAAGCACATCGTCAGCGTGAAGATCGCCGTAGCCGTGACAAATTGGATCAGATAGCGCGTGAAATCGAGGAAAAAGAGAAAATGGAAGCGGAAAAACAGCGTCTGCTGGCACAGATAACCAGTCACGAGCAGCACAAGGATTTGCTGACGTCGCGAGAAACTCTGGAGAAGCTAACCAAGCCACCGTATTATTCGAGGGAAAATTTGGCCACTATTCCATACGGATCGAAGGAAAATTTGAGCATTGGTGGTGGGAGTGAAGTGACAACTAAAGTTGAAAGACAAGTAATCGAACGTGTTGATCGGACGGTGTGGTCCAGTGATCCCAGGTATTCTTTGTGACAAATAATGTGAGGATTCTGTGCGACAGGCGCACTAAGTTCTTTCACATTTCTTACAATAGCTGGGGCACTCATCCACAGCTGTGAAATGGCGATGACTGCTGCAGCTGCTTTTCATTGAGAGGAACAGCTTTACTCAGCTTAAGTGTGCCCGATGGTTAAAATTGGAATTAGCACATGCTGGGGAAAGACCGTTTTTAATTTGCTTCAACTGTTATCCTTGGAAAACTGAAAGAGCGATCGACGACTTATTAGCTGGGATTGCCTTTCAATAGAATGCTTGTTCAGGCCCTCACTTTTGAGCGCAGAAAGATCGTGGTTTTTGATTCAAAGGAAGTACCAATTCTTCTCATGTTTACCAGTAGCCTCAACAGAAAATTTTTTGTCAGGAAAATGTTAACTCTTATTGTATGTGTGAATTTCCCCTAGACGAAGGGCCTATTTTGCTCAGGAAGAGGGCCGTTTTTACGCCGTATGTGGATTTCTGCTTTTGTCGCTGTGCGAGTTACATGGAATTTCATAGGGTTCGGCGCTATCGCCGTACAGCCGTACAGCCATCCGGGAAAAAGTGCCTTTTCAACCTTAGTGCTACATGCTTTCTTGCTTTTTTCTTTGCCTATATAATTTATTAAAATCTGCAGCATTAAAATGCATATTTGATAATTTAATATCACTTTAAGTTGGATGGTTGCTTGTTCTCACATTTGTCTCAGTTTGTGTTCGGAATTTCTTCTGGTATGAATGACTGCTTATCTATCCTTACTGCACGTACCCTGCGTAATCGTCGTTTCGTCTAATGTCAGAGAGCCAGGCGAATGCGAGTGCTTTTTCGATAGTGCATAAACCGAACTGAAAAGATTAGAATTTTTTTGCCTTTCTCGTGATAAATTTTTTTTTCCAAATTTTTTGATGCTGCGCTGTTGTTTCGTTTATAATGAGGAACTTTTTTTTTACATTCTTTGAGTTCCAGCCTACAGGAGATCATTTCAGTTCCGCAACATTAGGTTTTTAAAAATTTTTTAAGATCTAACCCATTATTTGCATGCAGTTTTAAGTTTAGGATCCGATTAATCGTATACTAAGCAATTAGTTGCTAGGAACTGTGCTGCTGTGCCCAAATTCCATCATTTCAGATACCGTCTTTGCTGTCTAAAATTTTTTGCTGTGATGTGTAGCACCACA